CATTCCAAAACACTGCTTCTCAGCAGACTGCCAAAACTTACATGGTTGTTTTTGAGACATCCTTCATGCTGGTCAAGGGGTCAGAGGTATCAGGACAGCGCAAGAGGCACGGAGCAAACACGATGGCCAGGGCGTTGGGGGACATGCGATTCACATCTTCTATCAAAGCCACTCTGAAATCCAACAGCCACAAAAAGAGAGTCTAAGCAGACCTTGCTAGAGTACAAATACCCTGATCACACCTTGCCAGAGTTCCCAAATAACATGTGAGGAGGCCTCTTGACACTCAGCACATACAGCAGTCCAAAGAAGCTTTAAAATTATTTCACACYTACTAAGTAGCYAACATTTCATGTATCAGAAGAAGGRYCAGGGAGCCACCCAGGTTACACTAGTCTGGTAGCCTCTGGTAGCCTCTCAAAACTACGCCTGGTGATTCAGTGCCTCCTCTTCAAAAACTCCTTTTGCCCATGTTCAGAGGGCCACTTGGAAAATCCTCCAGTTCCTTGGGTAAGAGCAGCCCCTTTACCAACACCAGTTATCCCTGCTCCTGGAACTCACATATGTTCATCCTCAGTTCATTCCAAGCCCCTCTGCCTAAATCCTGGTGCTCAGTTGATTCACCAAGGCTTTGAGATCTACCTTGTCTTCAAAGCTTTTCTTACCAGCTTTGATCCAAATACACCAGGTGGCAGAAGTAACCACGCACCTGCTTATAAGCACAACTACCAGCTTCAATTCTTTTGTTTCTAAACCCACAGCACAATCCCTACACTTACATTGAAGGGGTTTAACACATTAGAAAGCTTCCAAGAAGTATTCAGAATCCCAGTTTCTTTACAAATGAAGAAATCAAACTCCTTACTTGACAAGATGGAAGATGAGTCGTTCCAAGGTATTATGATTTGCTTGTGGGAGTTGTTCCAGGACACTGTAAATGGCACAGAGTTGCTCCTGTTTTTCTGGCAGTTCTGCACAAAGGGAGGAAGCACAAGATTGTAACTGCTGTGCAAAGCTAGTGGAAAGCTAAAAATTCCTAAATTCTGATAAATCTTACTATCATTTCATTTACTAACTGTTATAATTGAATGTTAAAGTAACCCCTTGTGGCGCCGCAGTTTTCCTGGATTTTTAGATAGTGCAGTCATCAAGTGACACACCAAGCACTCCAACAATATCTAGGGTGCCTTAATGCCACTGAAGTTAAAGGAATCCAGGGATATAAAGTATCTGTATATCCAGATCTGGTTCAGAAGAACAAGAAGAAAAACCTGCCTGAAAGGAAACTTATTCACATGCTTATTCACTCTTCTTGGAAACAGCAGCTATAAGTGATATATTAAAAAATAAAAACAAGGAATCCTGAAGCAAGATCAAGTAAGCTAGAAGAGAAATTCCCTGAAAAGTTTTTTCCTGTAAAATACCTAAAATGATTGCTGTCAGTGCAGTGAAAGGATGTGTTTAGTCAGCAGGAGGATCTTAAGAATTTCCCTTCCCAAGGACACAATGGGTTAAAGAAGAAATGTTTGAAGAATTGCTTCAAAACCTACCTACAGCTCTGAGAAAATCATTGTACTGTGCCGAGGTCATCAGTGGGTCTGGCAACTCCCTCAGCCACTGCTTAAGGATCCCTGTGATGGTGTGAATAGGGTAATTCTCCAGTTTCACCGAGTTTGGGTCTGAAAAGAAATGTTTTATTTAGAGCAGTTCATTCCTTTGATTCACACACTGAGACGCCATAGAAATAAGATTAGAAACATTCAAATCTCCAGTTCACAGAATTCAAATGGCAATTCAGAAGAAAAGAAAAGGCAAAAGATAGTAATTTAAAGGTAGTAAGCAGCTTTTGGCAGCCAGCAAAATAATACAGCCTGCACAGTAAGTAAAAAGCTGTTTTCAAAACACTAAGCAGTGCCAGATATTTCCAGATAGAAGAGAATTGCAGGAAAAACTGATATAATGCAATGAAGTGCCAAGGGTGGACAACACTGCCTGACCTTCTTGCAGCAACTGCTTCAGCTCCTTCATGCGATTTGCTGATCCTGATTTCCTGTAGATGCCTTCTGTGTAGAGCCCGTGCATCTCCACGTACTCCAGCAGCTTCTCCATGACAATGGGCACCGAGTTCCTCTCGCTGGTCAGGGAGCTCACACACACCCCAAAGTGCCGGGGCTCTGTGTCCTGCTCGCTCTGCAGTTGATATAGGTGTGACACCACCATGAATTCCTGTTCCTGAGCTAGAAAATGCCCTTGCTTCCTGCTACAATTACTTTATGCTTCTAGAAACTAAAGCTGAGGGTTTTATTCCAGCTTGCTACATGCCTTTGATCACAAGGCAGATTTCCTGAGCTGCAGACATAAGGAATCTTTATGGTTCATACTGAAGGATTTCTTCATCAGTTTGTCCAACACTGCACATGCACACTGACAGAAGGGCTCCTAAATTAGCTTAAGCACCACCCTCAGAAGATGGCTCTGCTCCTGCAAGTGCAGGGCCCCTCTCTGACTACATGTAGACAGAGAAGGGAACTGTTGAAGCCATTTTTATTCAGTGCACTGAATAAAATTTGGATGTTCACTGTTCACTTGATGGGAAATTAGGGCAGCATTTTTGGACGCACCACTTATGGTCCCACAGAACCCCATCCTAGACCCACAGGCCTTACCTTTTTCCCACAGGAGGTACAGCTGTTCTGGATTTTGGACATGCACTTCTTGTGACAAGTCAACTTGCAAACTAGAGAGAGAAGCAATTGTTACAAGCATTCAGATCACATTAAAACACTTTGCATTGTCTTACCCAGTTTCTACATGGCCTGTTCACCAAGGCCCAACTGTAGCAGCCAGAGCTACAAGCAATCTGCAAGTGGTAATTTGAGCAGCAGGAATGAGGTGTGTGCACTCACCACTGCACAGACAGGCCTTCTCCATGGGCCAGATGTAGGAGGAGCAGTGCTCACACGACTGCCGGATGCTCACTTGGTAGCTCGTGAACACGTGGCCATTGTGCTCCTCAATCTGGTGAGAGACACCAAGGAAACAGTGAACTTTTTGCCTTTTTAAAACTACTAGCTCAGATTTTCCACTTTTATTTTACAATTACAGCTGAAAGCTTTCACCCTGACACCAAATTCACCCTATCTTAAGGCAGTTGGGTTTGCTGGAAAATTTCCTAATTGACTCACTGCCTTAAAGTTCACAACTATTATTATTATTATTATTATTATTATTATTATTATTATTATTATTATTATTGTTGTTACTACTTCTACTACTAATAATAATAATAGTAATAATAATAATAATAGTTTTCTTTTAAATAACCCATGATTGAGAAAGCCTTTAGACTCTAAAAGAAGCCATGGACTCAACCAAGAAAATGCTCAAGCACCACCTATCACTGCATGAGCAAGATCTCTGCTTTGTGAAAACCAGTTTTATATTGCCACAGCTTCATAAAAGAGGCAAGTGAATGAGCATGCAAAACAAACCAGAACATCAGTACAAAATCAAGCTCTTCAAAGGGCATTTGTGTTTTGTGAGGACTTGGATTACTGCAAAAAGAAAGAACTTACTGCACGATCCTGTTTCCGTTTCTTCTTCTGGGCTTTGGTTTGCTGCAGCAGGAAACAAAACTGGTCTTAATCTTTGAAATTCAGACATTCCATTTTTTTTCTCCCCTATTGAGTTTCCCAGACTTTACTTCACCTTCAGACATTCGAAACACTATCCTGCAGCTTCAGCTTGGTTTGAGGGTTGTCTGAGCTCACACTATCAACTTCCTAAAAACCACCTGAGCTCACTGCCTGATGACAAAGCAACTCCATCTCTCAAACCTCCAGAGAACTCCTAAGTTTTTACCAAAGAAAATGCAAACTTTCAGATGCTGAAAATATTAAGTTAAAAAACAATTCCAAAAGAAGTGTATCAGCAATCAGAATTTGTTACACACATGATGTGCACGTGGCAAGTGTTTCCCAAATAATAAAAAGTGCCATGGAAAAGGTTTCTGAGGTAATACAAGTCCTGTATATTAAGAGAGCAACAGTGTTTCATCATCCCATAAACCAATAACAGAATAACTTTAATACCTTGGGCTGCTCAGATTCCTCTTTCTTTGTATATCCTCTGATGAATTCATCCAGAAGGGATTGAAAGAGATTCAAAACCAGCTTGACTTCTTTCTCTTCCCTTTTTTTGGCCAGGTTTGTAACTAGGAGCTGGTAATTTTCCACCAGATCTTTGTAGCCAACATGGATTTGCCCATTCTAGAGAAGGAAAAACACTTGTCAGACATTTTTTTTTTGCTACTGTTCAGACAGTTTGGTATTTTGATGTACTTAAAGTTCAGGGGTGAGAAAGCACAGCCATGATCAAAGTCAAAGATAACAGCCCATGACAGAAACAAGTTAACACACTTCCCTCCTGCACTGTCCAACAGCACTTGGCTGAGACAAGGCAGTGTCAGAAGAATATTGGAAAAGCTGTTGGCACCTCTTTGGTGTTTGAACACGGCAGCATTAAGAGGCTGAAGACAGCAAAATCCATCCATTTCTAAAAATAAATTTATGGCTGAGTGAATGAGAAAAGGGAAACAAAGCCAGCTGCTTGAGATTACAGCAGAACCATAAAATGAGTCTAACATTCAGCTTTGAATTCTAGGCTAAGAACTGCTGAACTGCTTTGTTGAAGAGCTGCAGGCCAAGCCTTGAACCTGCACACTCAATTCATTTATCACCTGCCAACTTTCCTTTATTGAGACTTACTACTTACAGGAGCAGAGTACATAGTCTTGATGTTTCCTCTGAACTTCTCTGTGGCTTCAAAAAACAAACATTCAACACCAGACTTCTGGGAGCGTAAGTCATTGATCTAGGAAAAAAAAGCATCTGCATCAGATTTTGTTAAAACAAGAACATCTGAGCAGAGTTGAGCTTTAGTGGCTGGGCTTAGTCATCCATGACCATTCCAGTTATTTAAAACTACGTTTCTTAATGCACTGTGTTGATGATACAAAACAGGGCAGTCAGGTAGCTGGGCTTTAGAGAACTCTCTGTTTACTTACAACTCTTGCTTTTCAAAATACTTTTGGCTGTTGCAAACAAACAAAAAACTAACATGAATGCCCTGAGTATTTAATGCAATATAATGCATTCAGAGACTTGAAAAAAAGAACAGGAAGAGCCATAATGCAAACTTAGTCAAACCATCCAATCAATCCCCCTTTGCTTTAGATTATAACCCAGACATGCACCTAGAACAGCAGGCTTTAAAATTTCACACCAACAGTGAACAAAGACTTAAATTATATCAAGGGTGAGAGCCTTTCACCTTGTTGAGGAGGAACTCATCGAGGTGTTTGAGCTCGTTGGCATTGGCGATCTCGCGGACCATGGATGCGCGCCAGTTCTGAGACACGCTGGAGATCTTGCTGATCTTTATGGTTCTGTTCTTCTTTGCTTTGCTGCTCTCCTTCCCGTGGCGCTCCCCGGCCTGGGGGCGGCCCGGCTGCCCCGAAGAACCTGCCAAGGAAATGAAATAAAGCAGAGTGACTGAATTGTTTCCTCACAGAAAAGACGCACCATGCTGAGGGTTAAATCACCCAAACTCACCTTCTGGAGCTTTCTGGGCTCCTCCTGTGTCTGGAAAGGGGACACAAGATATGAGGGAGAGGCCGTCTCCTTCCTCAATCACATCAGAACTCTCCTTTGCAATTTTCTTGTCTGGCTTTTTCCCCAAAAGTCTACGCAAAGGGCTTTTGAAGGCAGACCTGAATACAAAAGCAGATACAAGTTTGTCCCATTAGCAATGAAAGCTGGCTCTGCTACCAGAACAGGATCTTAACAATAACCCACAACAGGATTCTCAGCTATGGGGAACATTTAAAACCCAACCTGCAGAAAAACTGAGCAGCACAAAAAAGGAAAGACAATGTGAAAGCACAGCTGAACTTTCTGGCATTTACAAGATCAGAGCTCTACCTTCAGCACACACAGAGACAACACCTCACATATCCAAAACATCAGTTCTGGCTCAGGAAGTCCCTGGGCTGCAGAATGCCAGAGGCTGGGAAGCAGCACTACATGCTTGCTGGGCTCTTCAGCTTTTCTCTTGGTGTTGGATTACACTACATGAACCTTTGATCCGAGCTGTAATGGTTCTCATTTTAAAAAGAACCAGTTCAAAGAAAGTGTTATGCAAGAAGCAGAGGATCTGTTCCTCAGCAGGGTCAGATATCATGGTCAGAGCAACACGAAGCAGCAACACAGCCATCATGTAGCTGATGCCAACTTGTGCCTCTCCACAATCACAGTCTCAAGGTGCCCAATTCAAGTACCAGTAGAAACTCCCTTTTTTTTTTTTCATTTTCTCACACACAGCACATACTTGGCATCCACTTGCTGACTTGCTGGCTGCATTGGAACAGCCGTGTCCAAAGTAGGGAAGTGGTCACTGGGCTTCTTCTGCCCAAGGTATTTCTTGTTGCCTTTTTCTTCTTCTATTGGATCTGGTGATTGCTACAGGAGAGAGGAGTCAAAAACTGCATAGTGAGTGACAAAGATTCTTTAAATGGTTTTAAAACCTAGAATGGTGAAAAAAGTTTGTTTCATCAAGACAAAACACTTTACCCAATAGGTATTAGCTATTATACCCTAAGAACCAAGTATATTTAATGTTTTGATCAAGGATCTATTTATTAAAGTTCAAGTCTTCAAATTATTGTATACTACTTGCTGATGATTGTTTTTATATGGATCTGAAGGAACACAGAAACAGATAAGTATTCACATATCTGTAGTATGCACTACAGATAAGTATTCACAAATAATACTATTTATAGACAATGACAAGTATAAATAAATATGATAGCATCAATACCTGGTTCATGGCAACAGCCTGGGCCAGTGTTGAGAGGTCACTTAATGAAGCTGAACTCCCCTTCTTCCTGTAAAGAGATGAGTTTCAGAACATACATTTTAATAAAATCTGTGGCCTCTTCACATTTTTTAAATAACCCACGTATCAGTGCAACATCTAAGACAGAACCCTGGGCAGCCCTTGCAATTCACTTTTAAATGCAAAATAGAGAAGTAAAAATGCATGGGAATGTCAGATTTCCTGTCATATCAGAGGGATGATGCTYGCAAACTGCAGGTCACTAAAATCTTGTTTTCAATGGGTAAAAGACACATGAAAATAAACTCCACACTCTATTTCAACTAAAGCCCTGACTCTCCATTTTAAGTCAGCCAGGCAGGCTTTGAATCTTTTGTGAGCTTCTGAAAACATTCTGCCCATACAGATTCACTGCAGGACTGGGAGCCAAGAAAAGCTGGAGTGGTTCACAGCTCCATTTGCTCCCATAACACGGCCCAAATGTACAGGCTCTCAGGAGCTCTCCATCTATTTCTAAACACCACAGATATCTGTTTTCTGTAAAGTGAGAAAAAAACCACCTGCCCTTACTCTAGCTCATCCTGAGGAGATTTGTCCACACGGATCCTTCCATCCAAAGACTGACTCAGCACATCATTCTGGCCAGCATCAGACTGTCTCTTTCCTTTCCACTTCTCTCTCTTGTACTTCAGCTTCTCTGGGTCATCCACATATCTCTGGATTGCAGAAGTGGGACTGTCCAGGTCTTTGGTTGCCCTCTGACGCCTGTTTTTCTCTGCCCAGGTGTCAGCAGGGCYCTGAAAGCTCCCGGTAGCAGACAGSGTGTTACGAACATTCAGTGCAAGATCTGTCGGCCTTGCAGGGCAATTAAAGCTTTGGCTGCCTTTTATTTGGTTATTTTGATTCCCTTGTGTTTTCGTTCTGTCAGCTGCTGTGTCCTCTGCTTCTGACCCGGGTGGCTGCTCAGGAGCAGAACCACTTTCTTTYATCTCACTCGACGGTGGAATGTCTGAAAGAGGTTTTTCTTCGCTTGGACTTTTCTCTCCCTCGCCACTTCCCTGAAGGATATTATCTTCTTGTGCTGTGGATTTCTCTGGCACTGGAGCAATTTCCAGGGCCTCTTCAGAAACAGTTGGCTCCTCATGGCACTGTGAAGATGGACCTTCAAAGGACAGGAGCACATGTTTGTTCTGCAAGTCATTGTGTTCCAGCCCCCTCTGCCGACGGGATTCCCGCTTCTCCCGGCTGTGGATTACTCTCTCTGAGCCCTCTGTCGTGCTCTTCTGGGTTAACATGGCTTTCTCAGATGAGCTCAGGTTTTCAGCTTGCTCATTTTGAGCTTGATCTTCATCTTCAACAGCTTGATCTGGCTCTGCCTCGTGTTTCACAGGCAGCTCATCTGTTGCTGGCTCACTCTGTTCTTCCTTGCCTGTATCATCCTCTTTGTTTTCATCTTCCTGCATTTCTCTCTGCTTTTCTTCAGCTTTCTGCCTTTCTGCAACCATTTTCTGGTATCTGTTAAGAATTTTTGGGAGAAAAACATAAATCCTTAATGCTCAGGGATAAAAAAACCCAACAACCCAGCTGCTTAAATGGGGCCCAAACAGCAATACAGACCCAAAGTGCACCTACACTGGGACTGCAGAGAGGTGTCTGCTTGTCAGGACTGGCAGCATCAGCGCAGCTCAGCTGAATAAAGCTCAAGTCCTGAACACTTCTCCAGTGTCCACACACCCCTCATTACTTGGTACTGACAGAAATAGCAAATGGCAATAACCACCTTTAAAGTTCATGGAACCCCAGAGTGGTTTGGGTTGGGAGGGACCTCAAAGATCATCTCAATCCCATTYCCCTGCCATGGGCARGGACACCTTCTACTATCCCAGGGTGCTCCAAGCCCCATCCAACCTGGCCTTGGACACTTCCAGGGATGCAGGGGCAGCCACAGCATCCTTGGGTAACAATTTACTAAGCTCTTTACTAAGTCAACCCATCACACAAACTGAACATGGCAGGTGAAGCTGAGGAGGAAGGTGACTAAATGGATGTTTCACATCACATTGCTCCTTCCCCTTTACCTCTTACGCTGCAGGTACCCCCTGACCAGGGCCTGCAGGAGACAAACTCTCCTCCTGTGCTGCAGGAAGCGTTTGCGCTGCCGGTGCCGCCTCCAGGCTGCCTGGATCTCGATGGCAGCGTTGTTCCTCTGCAGGGCCATCCTGACACAGCGGGAGCGCCAGCATGCCTGGGAAGGGACATTTTGGAAGTGAGGGAAGGCTTCCTCAAGGTGGGGAGTGTTACAGGACAGAGTTTGTTGTTATGAAGGTAAGGTTGGCAATTCTTGAAGATACCTGTAAAACAATGGCTGCCTGGCGCGTCCTGAGAAAGCGCCTCCTTTCCAAAACCATCTTGAGCCAGCTCTGAAGGAGGATGATTTTCCTGATCACTTCTTTGTGTAGTGTATCCTGTAGTATCTGCCGTTCAGCTTCTTTCATAAAAACCTGGTCAGTTAAAGAAAAGTTCATCAAGAAGCCCCCACTGGAGGTATAATAAGATAATAGTTTGCTATCATCACATCACACTTTACCAGGTGACAGCTTGCACCAAAAATTAAAAGCCCTTTTAAATTTCAGAGTTTGGATTCTAAAAGATAATACTTTTCCTTACAGCCTTCAAATCACAGAACCTCTCTAAAATGAAAACATTGACCTGTTTGACAAATGCCAATAGCAATCATTTCCCAAACGGTATCTATGTAACAGGGATTTGTAGTGAAGAAACCAGGTTGGCACCAAAACCAAGGAGTCAAGTTTAATCTCTGTGTCAATACTTGCAAGAGGTAAAATTTAGGCCAATTTAGGTACAAAATGCAGAGAAGAGTAACACTTGTAAATGAACTGCACTGAATTTTGCATGTGCAGTAGTATTTTATTGCCTTACAGAAAGTTTCACAGACCTTGGTCTTCCCTATTTGATAGTAGTTTTCGTTCAGTTTGAGTTTATTCAAATAAGCACAAATGTCTTCCTTGGAGGCTTTGGCATTTTTGGGCAGTAACACCTGAAACTGGTCGATGAATTCCTGTGAAAAGCAAACACAGCAAGAGGCCAAAGTTAGAAGACAACTCATAAGCTTAGAGTTTTAGCTTTAAAATACAAATCTATTTAAGACACTGAAGCTACAGGGATCTGAAAGTATTCACCTCTCACTCCAAACTGAGCTACTTTTCCATGTGAAATGCAGGCTTCAGTCAGCCTCCAGTTATGGGAAAGATCACCTGTATGTGATCTCTAAACCTACAGAGACCTACAGAGAGCTCTTTACAGAAAACTAATTCCCACATGGAGACAGCACTGTCTGATCACACTCAGAATGTTTTCCTTCATGCAGCCAGGAAGAATTTACTGGCAGATGACTCACACAATAGTTCAACTACAACTTTTTACCATGCAGGCTCTCTCAAAACTACAGTGTATTTTTACAGCTCACCCCAAGTGGTTATGAGCTTCATATGAAGAGACATAGAAGACAAGGCAAAGGTGTGTTTTCCAAAGAGAGTAAATATTTCTGAAAGCACAGTCCACTTCCAGCTCCCACCATACCTGGAATGTGTATTTGGCACTGTAGCCAGACCTCCTGATCCGCACAGTTTCCAGCATGCCCGTGTACCGTAACTGCTGCAGCACCAAATTTTCATCAAACAGCATCTCCTTCTGTAAAACAGCAGCAGAAAACAGCCAGTGAGTGTCWGAAGAGCCCACCTGCYGTCGTAGGACAGCACATTTTCTTCYCACACCTTGGTTACCTTGCCCCTGCACACAGAGTGACAGTGAACAAGCTGAAATAAAGAGATGAAAGGCTCGAGGGCTGGGTGTCAGCAGAGCTCAGCTCTGAGGCAGCCTCACCTTCTCTGCATTGGAGCGGATGCAGCGGATGAAGAATGGCTCAGCTCGACCCAGTGTCTCCAGCAACTTGTTAAGTGAAGTCTGAAATGAAACAGCCACAGAAGTTTTTCTTCAGATCTCAGCATTTTGAGTGGTTTGAAGCAGGACAGCTTCTGCCCTGAGGAATCTAAGGTTGTTTCAGATCTGATGATTATAAAACATCCACACACATATTCTCCCATATTGYAGACACATCCATGTATTTGGCATTTGCTTTTAGCTTTTCTCAASAGAATTTAAAGCAGGGTTTGTACATGCTCTAACAGTAGCACTGGATGTGCACACAAGGATGGTCATACAGAGAACTGACACATTCCATGGCATCTCAAAATGTACCCTGACTTTAATCAAGCAATAACCCCACATCAAACAAATCCCAAGAATAAAATCCACTTTGTTTTCCAAGCAAGACCAGCCTAGAGCAGCCCAGGAGGGTCTGTCCCCTACCTGGAACTGGGCACTTATGCTGGGGGGTTTCTTCTTCTTGTGCAAGTGCAAAAGGGACTTTGTGGTCCGATCGTGCAGGGTCATGCTCATGATGAGCTTCAGAGATTTGGAATCCAGCAAGTTCTACAAGAAAGTTTCCATAATCAACAAAGTGCAAGTCTCTCAACTAAAAGGGAAATATTTGTCTGAAATGAGTCAGAATGAAACCAGCTACCCAGAGTTCCACATTCAATGGCATGTTACATTTCATGATGATTTCTATTTTGGGTCAGAGCACTTCTTAGGAGTAAAACTGTTCCATTGCCCTGTCCCAAGAGTGCAAGGTGAACAAGGGGAATCATATAATCACTGCATCTGTCTTCCCTGACTTGAAGTGAATTTATTCATTAATGGTATCTCCAGTCTAACTGAATAACTCATATTAAGGTGAACATTTACCTATTTTTTAGCTTGTCAGGGTAAATAACAAAACTTTCCTACACTATGAAACAGTTCTGAAGTGAGTTTTATCAATTAAAATGAAGTCCACAGAGCAAAAAAAAAGAAAGCCAAACTGAGAGAAATCTAAATTTTCTGATTAACTTTACCTTGGGAATGATCTGCTTTTGCTTGACACCTCTACTTTTCCTGTTAAAATATTAAAGATCATTTAAGAAAAAACAATACACATGATTTTTGATTATTTAAGCAAGCCATAAGTTGGTGCAATTTATGAGGTAAGACGAAGGACGGAAGAAAATGAGCACAACAGCACCAGGGTGTGTTCATGCATGTCTCTTGCAAGTGATCAATGCAAGAAATGCAAACTGCTTTGCAACAAGAACAATTTTTTTTTTTTTCTTACATAAACTCTGTAGGTAKTGGAAGCTTGTGAAACATTTTCAACAAAAGTGAAACATTTTCTCTGTGGTTATAGCTATTCCAAACTGCCCTGTTGCATAGACTACTGTAGTGTGAGTTATTGTCTTTAGCAGAGAATAATAAACTCTCATTATAACACAAAGGCTATAAATTAAATAAAATAAAAATATTGATTCAGAAGTTGCAGCTGCTTGCACCAGAAGCTCTGTAGAAGCACCCAACTGCTCGAGGAGGACAATGCATGTCCCAGCACACAGAAATGTCTGAGCAGGACACACAACTCAGGCACAGCTCTCTTGCACACACAGAAGGTGAAGAAGTGGAAATTCTCACCAACAAAGTGCAGTTCACACCCTCTTGGTTCAAAGCTTGCTAACTCTGTGATACAGAGCAGGTTCCTGCTGTGTGCCACCCAGTGTACAGTTACTCATTATACAACAGAGCACAGATTCATTTCCTTACACATGCATTGAACTGCACATGTAGAAACCCTAAATCCAGGAATATATCCAGCATCAGCACCCTGAATTTCAGGAAATCATTTATTGATCTCACTATTGAATRTTTTGCAACAACAAGCTCATACTACATACTTGGGGTTTTTAAAGTAAGTTTACATAAGAAGCAGGTTTAATTTTCAGGTTTAATGAAGCAACTAAGTGCTCTCTATAGCCTGTTTGCAGATAGGATATTTTATTTTTAATTGTCTTGTTTAGTGTTTTTCAAAAGGCAAACACGGGACAAGTATCATTTTTAGGGACTGGAATAACTGCTTGGTTCTTGTTGCACTTTCAAAGAATACCCAGAGCAGCAGGACTCACAGGAGGTGGGAGCGGTGTTGAAGCTGACTGAGAGACCGAAGCAGCTCACAGGGATCATCACCCTGCCAGGGCAGTCCTTTAATACTGGCGATGATTTGTTCATGCATGTCTCTAAAATGATCCACAGCAAAACAAAGGTGGCAAACAGAGATACACAGCCGTGAGAGAGGGGGAAACAAGGAGTTCAAACCCCAACAGGTTCCATCACCAAGTGTGCTGCAAATTGTGCAGGTCAATCCCAGGCTACTTTTGCCTAAACGTGAATGATTTTGGTGACAAATKAGCACTTTCTACTCCATCAGCGCCCTAAAATTAAGTTGCAAGGGTCTCATACTCCATTTACTCTCTAATTCTACCATTTAATGTAAATTYTTGAGTCATCAATTCAGAAAATGGAGGGAAATTTAGCAAAATGGACTTAAAGGGCAGGGAACCCTTCTGGTTAAGCCACCTTTTCAGACASATATAAGCTTCTTTGTAATTTTATACATAAATAAACATTTATTTGATATTTTTATATACTACTTATTAAATTTATTTTATAATTTTATATTTTAAATATATCATAAACATTTTTATATATAAATTAGGCTACTAAAATGAGGCTACTTAAGCAGACTTATTTACATCAGAAAAGTAAAGCTATTARAGGAATACTTGAAGAAATGTTTGGTTTCCTTTCCATTTCAAACTTATTCACATTTAGCTTTTCAAAGTAAGCCTGGGATGGTCCCTAATTCRTGGCAGGTTCCATTCTTTAAGCATGCACCGTGCTTGTGAAGTGCTGTGTCCTGGCACAGAGCTTACCTTCTTTACTCTCCAGAGAGGCACAAACCAAAAATAACAGAAGTGTAAGAATCACTTCTGACTCTTAAAGGGGAGAGCATCTCTGAGCTGCTCTGAGGCAGCAACATTATAACACAGGGCTGCTGTTTCCCTGGGTACTTCTGAACTTTTTTTGAACATCAAGATTCATGACATCCCAAGAAAACAGATCTGTTATGCTGTGACCAATCCTTTCACCCAAATTGGATATTTAGTTCTTTGCTGCCCAGGATGCAGTAATTAGGAAGCAGAATGAAGTCACCACCCATGGCTTCATTTCTCCCAGAGCACGCTCAGAAAGTCAGTGTGTCCTGGAAATGTGCCTCCCTGGCCTGGGAGTTCAGGCCTAATGCTACTTACTTCTTGTTTTCACAAAAAGAAATGATGTCTTGRAAAGCATTTATATCGAAATCCTCAGAACAATCAAATGAGAAATCGAGCACTGAGCGGCTGCAAAAGGAATATGTACAAAGCCTAAATATCCATGGAAAGGCAAATCTCCCTACAGAGATACAGTTCTGTAGGACTGGCTTACATGCCATTGCAAAAAAAAAACCAAAAAAAACCTAGCTTCTGCCCCCTCCAGTGACCCAGACGAGCACACAATGCTAAAAGCAGCACACACAAATCAAAAACCCAGGGGTAAATGGAATTGAAGCTGTCTCCAACATGTGGTGGCATTGGGTCTTACATCAAATAAGCTGGAGTGTTGTTTTGATAGGATTAAAGGGGCCRAAGAAAACAAGACAGAAGAAATAAAACTTGCTTTCCTTGTGGAAAGATCTAGTTGAGATTTGATATATGAAAATCCAACTCGGCAATTCAGCTCATTTCCCTGCAGGGGTTAAGGATGTGTTTCTCACCGATAAACTTTTTCTACCGGTGTATTTGATCTCTGGAGTTCTCCAAGGGGAACTCTGGGTCCTTGACGTACCACTCCTGTTAGGAAATAACCAAAAWTTTGCATTTTGACAAAGAGATGAGCAGACAAAAAATCCCAAACAAACCACCAACTGTAACAAGCAAAATATCTAAGGATCTGGAGATTTTATCAAACACTTTACGAAGCTAGAGCCCTTTGCTTCTCCAACTCCCTTCTACTGGAAACAAAACTGCAGCTACTCAAAGTCAGTAATTAATCCTGAATACTCATTTGATGCTTCAGAGAGGTCTAAGATCAAAACCAGTGATGAGAATGCATACCAGAGCTATCACCCCCAACTTCTACAAACAGGCCTTGAATTTTGTCCCAGCCTGCTGGAAATGCTGCACTAACTGGAGGGGGAAAGCTGAGTGGCCTCAGGTAAAACAGTGAAAATTTCCTCCATGTGTGAACATAAAACCATTTCCACCAGTCAGTACTGATCATCATGTCYCGTTGGTAAGGTTTTGCCACAAACTTGTTCTGCCAGCAGAGCAATTGTAGAGTATTGAGTGTTTTCAGAGCAGTTTCCTGAGCCCTCCCTGCCGTTTTCCAGCCCTCCCTGCCATTTTCCACCCCTACCTGCCATTTTCCACCCCTACCTGCTGTTTTCAAGCTGTACCTCCCGTTTCCTAAGCCCTACCTGCCATTTTCCATACCCTACCTGCTGTTTTCCAGCCC